AGGGAACGAACCCAGGAGTCCTGGCTCCTAGTTCCCCTAGTCTCACCCACTAGATCCCTCTCCCCTCCCAGAACCAAGGCATCTTGGCTCCCAGTTCGAGTCCCAAGCCCCTCTGAATGCAGACAGCCCCCCCCACCCCACCCCCAAGACCGTTCCTTTGGACTACAGCTTTTGCCCACTAGAAGGTGGGGCGGGGACTGCAAACTGGAAAATGCCTTCTGGGCACAGGCGATTGATCTATTGTTTCTCATCCCAGATCAAGCGTGGGATCCGCGGCCAGCAGGAGACGCTGCGGGTGCAGGAGAGATTTGTGGCCGGCTCGCTGGCCGGCGCCACCGCTCAGACAATCATTTACCCCATGGAGGTGAGGCCCCTGCGGATGCCGAGCCACCGCCAGAGAGCACATAGCCAGGGTTTGCATCCAGCGTGGTAGCTACTGCCCTGCCTCCTTTGAAAGTTCTCCTGCCCGGTGTGAAAGCAGGGACTTGCGGTGTTGTTGGAGGAATGGCGAAGGCACAGGCCTGCTGTTCGTAAGAGCTGAATTCAGGCCCCAGCTCTGCCAATGCCTGGCTGCGTGACCTTGGGCATGTCCCTCAGCATCCTGGCCTCAGTTTCCCTCGCTGCACAATGGGGGTAATAGCAGCATGAGCCGTGTCCTGCCTGAGGCTAAATACAGTGACGATTGGGAAGGATCAGAGATAAGTACCCCAGGCAATGTAGGAGGTGTGCACTTGGACTGCGTTCGGATCCCAATGTGGCGCTAGAGGGCTCTGACCCAGTGCTGATCCGGATGCCCCTGTAGGGCACTAGTCGGTGCTGTGCTGCAGGGTGGGGGGCACAGGAGGGGGTACTCTCCTCTTGCAATTGGCTAGATGCCAGCTGGAGAAATGCCCCTTTCTCCCCCATCCTCCCAATGATTTTGTGGTCCAGTACTAAGCTGCTCTGTCAAACCGTTTGCCTGCCCCACCCCAGAGGCGGCTGCATTTCCATGGTGCCCTTTATCACGGTCCTTAAGGAATCTGTCCCCCAGGTGCTGAAGACCCGGCTGACCCTGCGGAAGACGGGCCAGTATGCAGGGATGGCGGACTGCGCAAAGAAGATCCTACGGAAGGAGGGACTCCGGGCCTTTTACAAGGGTTACCTGCCCAACGTGCTGGGCATCATCCCCTACGCCGGCATCGACCTGGCTATCTACGAGGTCAGGGCCAGAGGCGCACGGGCCTGCAAGCCGGGCGGAGCCTGTTTGCACATAAGCTCCTCCCCCACGGTTGGAAGTAGGGGGCTGCGAGTGGACCCATTTGTCACATGCTGGAGTCCTGACTTACAGACCCGTCCCACTCTAACCATTAGACCCTGCTCTCCTCCCAGAGCTGGGGGTAGACTCTAGGAGTCCTGACTCCCATTCTCCCCCCTGCTCTAACCACTAGACCCCACTTCCTCCCCCCCTCCCCTGGAGCTGGGAGTAGAATCTAGGAGTCCTGACTCCCATTCTCCCCCCCCCTGCTCTTACCACTAGACACCACTTCCTCCCCCCCTCCCCTGGAGCTGGGAGTAGAATCTAGAAGTCCTGACTCCCATTCTCCCCCCTGCTCTAACCACTAGACCCCACTCCTCTCCCAGAACTAGGGGGAGAGCCCAGGGATCCTCACTTTGAGTCCCCCGGCAGCCTACCATCCCTGGCATCCACCCAGTACTCCCATCCCTCTGCTGGAACCCCCCAGCCCTGGCATCCATCCACCCCTCGTCAGCTCTGCTCTCCTCCTCCCTGCAGACGCTGAAGAACATGTGGCTTCAGAAATACAGCTCGCACACCGCCGACCCAGGCATCCTGGAGCCCAGGGATCCTCACTTTGAGTCCCCCGGCAGCCTACCATCCCTGGCATCCACCCAGTACTCCCATCCCTCTGCTGGAACCCCCCAGCCCTGGCATCCATCCACCCCTCGTCAGCTCTGCTCTCCTCCTCCCTGCAGACGCTGAAGAACATGTGGCTTCAGAAATACAGCTCGCACACCGCCGACCCAGGCATCCTGGTGCTCCTGGCCTGCGGCACAGTGTCCAGCACCTGCGGGCAGATCGCCAGCTACCCCCTGGCCTTGGTGAGGACCCGGATGCAAGCCCAAGGTGAGATGGGGCGGGGGGGG